TTTTATTTAGTTTTTTTTTATTGCAATATTCATCTATAATTACCAAGTCTTCTACAATTAAATGAGGACTTGAAAAGGTGACTCAGATTGGATTTGTGCATAAACAAATAAAAGAAATTACCACATGAAATCTTCTAAAAACTTTGGACCCCATTATCCATGAGAACTCTATTTTCCGAGATGAGTAAAAGCAGGAGCTTCTAAAATGGTAATGATTATTTAATCGTTAAAAGTTTATAAAGGGTTTTTGAATTTGTATATAGTGATGGATTAACGTGGTATTGAATAATTGATTTATTTTTATATAAAGTAATATTAACATAACACCTACGACAGGGCCTCATAAGGATTGATTTAATCTATAGTTTATATAGATTATATAGCAATCAGAAAATGGTTAAAGCAAATCATTTTTTCTATTTATTTTCATTCAAAGAAAAAAAAATTCTATCTGTTTTATTGTGAATATTCAAATGATTTTATGAACATGTATACCCACGTACATATATAGTTATTCTTATATACATAGATACGAAAGAAAAAAAAAAACAAGTGCAGGCAAATACTATAAAAAGATTTCCACTTTTACGATATGATCTGCGCCAAAGATGTTGAGAAAAAAAGACACAGAGAGAGGATGCTGAGAATCTCATCAACATTGTTGTCTTCCCTTATAAAGCTCCAAACTACCCAACGGCACAATGCCTCCCTCAAATTGCTCTGAAGGTTCTTCACTTTTTCTAACCTCTCTTCTTCTATCCAGACTTCCAGCACTCTCTGTCTGGAAAGAAGGAAAAGAAAGAAAAGAAAAGAGAATATTTTATTGTAAAAAAAAAAGAAATTAAAGGGGATTTTGTGTGATTTGTTAACCTAACCACTCTTTGAAAAGGTTAACGTTGGTCACTATAGTGTCCATAGTTTTTAGACATAAATGGCATTTAGTGAAAACTAGATCGGTGATCAGTGTTATATATTCCATGGGTCAGTTTAATTTTATTTTCATTGTAAAAAAAAAAATGGTTAAGATGATGTAAATGTTCCTAAAAAAATAAAAAAAATATATAGAGACTAAGTCATTGAATTGAATAAGTTTAATAAGCTCATATAATTTTGGTAATATAAATAAAAAAAATACAACAATAATAAAGAAACTAAAAAAAACAATAGCAAAGAATAAAATGTAAAAAAATTAATTCAAATCATCTAGATTAGCATGCCAAATTTGTAATTTAGTCGTAATATCAAGGTAACCCTGTTAAAAGCAAATTGAATAAACCAATGAAATTCAATTATTAAACAACCCAATATCAAATAATAAAATTAAAAAAATATAAAAAACAATAAAAAAAAAGATTTGAATCAACCCAGATTCACAAGTTGACCTTGCGACCATATGTATATTATTGAAATAACCTTATAGGAAAAATCATAAAAAACTTTATAAAGAGCAATTTCCAATAAATCAATTATTAAAAAATGAAAAAAATAAAATTTAATAAAAAACATAAAAAAACTGAATTCAATATGTGTTACTACTTAAAACGTGTGACTCTAGTAATGAGATTGAGACTAATTTTATGAAAGACAAACTCTAAATAATAACAAAGTAAAATTCTCAATTACAAAATAATAAATGATGAAATTGAAAATAAAAATAAAAAAAGAAGTAATAAATAGAAAATGGACTAAATTTGACATAAAATAAATTAAAATTAAATTTTTAGGGATGAATTGAAGAAAAAATTGAATTAAAAAAGGATAAAAAAAAAATAGTAATTAAAAAAAAAATTTAATTTGATATAAAAATTAAATAACAAACAATAAAAAATAAAATAACTATTAATGAAAAGACAGAGAAGCAAATTGTAGAAAAAAATAAATGAAATGAAGTTTTCATGTTTTACAAAGGAGAAGAGAGAAAAGGAGGAGGTGAAGAAAACAAAGTTCAAGTATTTAGGTCATCAATGAAAGCTGATTTGTGGAAAGTTTTACATCCATTGTTGCATTTTGATTATTCCTCAAGTGTTAAGTAATTTTGTAATAGACATTTTAACAAATAGTTTGTATGCAATACAAATTTAAACTAGAGAAGAAACAAAATCTTTTGTTTAAGAATGTTTATAGGTTTACCAATTTGATGTCTTTTCTTTAGCTTCCCGGAGCAAGTGTCGCCGCCTCATTAGATGATCACGGAAATTCTGGAGTTCTTAAAGTTCTGGATAATATGCATGTAATATAACACCATAAGAAATTCAAGAGGAATTCCAAAAATTGAGGTTTGTTCAATTTCAAGAGGATTTTTGGCTACTTTAAAAGTGCAAATACGTTTATGAGGTATTTCTAAGGTGTTTTTGTTACTTGTTTCGGACTAATAAAGAGAATACATCATATGTTTTAATTTGTTTTTCAAAAAACATATTTATTAGTTGGGCATGACCTTTTTTGTCCTTTTCTTTATTATTTTTCTTAGTTACTAAACTAATTCATTTACTTTTTAATTTTTTTTGGTAATCAGAAACAATAATTCTAGTGAAAAACATTGTTTTCACTATGATAAATAAAAAATACATTAATAAAAAAATTATTTTAATGAAAAAAAGTTTCACAAACGATTGCATTTTTAGTTTTATAACAAAGCTGCAAAAAAAAAAAAAACTTCTGAAGACATGGACAATTTTCATAAACGAGCATACAAATTAGTTTATGTCTAGAAATATAGATACAATGTTAACATATCTTAAACTTGTAAGCTAGCCTACAAATCTCTCTCTCTCTCCCCCTCTCTCTCCATATACATATATAATTTCGTTTTTTTTTTTTATTTGCATGCGTGAGTAGAATTAATTTGAAGTCCTTTGCATGCAATTAATGAAGTCACAAGGGCTTAATTTGAGCCAATTTAAGTATATTAGGTTGGACCTAAGAAAGGTTTCCGATTTTGATATTATGTAGAAGGACCATGCGAGATTTGGCATTGCATGCTGCACTTCTCCTTCAAGAGGCCCACGTCTACCTTCGGTGCTTAAATTTTTCATGTGGAGAATTGACTCCCACTTATATGTGAAATGGTGGAAGATATTATACTTTAATGGCATGTCGATCACCCAATTGATCTTGATGATGACGTCCTCGATCTAATATCTTCTGTGATGTCTCAATGGTCTCTTCTGATGATAAGGCTGCATGAACATGAGCTGTAGAAAACACGGTGGTGTTCTTTCATTTTTCTACTCCTGAAAAATTCTACACCACCCATGACGCTGGTCCAGCACTCGTGTCATTGGTTACATTAATTTATTTTATTTTATTTTATTTAAAATGATATTATTTTAATATTACAAAATATTAAAACTATTTTAATATGTAGGGTTTTCATTATTTTGATTTTGCTTTTTTCAGGGAAAGATGAGATGGTTTGTATTTCTTAAAAAAATTCTACAGTGTCAAGTGACCTGGTATTTATATGCCTTTTGGCATTGAAAAACTAGTGTGACATCTTCTTTTAGTAGATATATGGGTAAAATGCTAGAATCAGTATAAAAAACCTGTATTAGAAAAAAGAATTCCCACGAAAAATATTTTGACCATAAGTTATGAATTTGACCCCAATAAAATTATTTTTTACTACTTTCATCATGGTAGATTTTGTTTTGACAATGAAAGGAAGGTTTTCACTATTTTTAACTTGAAAATTGATTTTGATGGAAAAATAATGATTTTGACTATGATAATTTTAGTTTTATTAAAAAGTAATTTTTTTTTAAATTTTAACTAAAAAGTCGGATTTAATTGGAAAAAGGATAGGTTTGACCTTAACAACCTTGGTTTGCTCGAAAAAATATGGTCTTGGCCAATTTTGATAAGAAAACCAGTTCTGATCGAAAAATAACGAGTTTGGCTTTAATAATTTTGGTTTGATCAAAATAATATGGTCTTAGTTTATTAAGACAATAAAGGATACATGGAAATTATTATTCACCTGCATCTATTGTATTCTGGATTACAATGTTAATCTATAATAGTTTACTTTTTCTTATTATTGAATTTTAGTTATGATTTTTTTTAAAAAAATTTTGTTATTATCAATTTTATCTTCTAATATTGGTGTGGTTGATTGAGAATTTAGTCTCGTAATTTATTTATTTTTATTTTTATTTTTTATAGGGTTGACTCGATTTGCGAGTTCGTTAAAGTAACTCAGGTTGCCTTGATTTATAAGTTTGTTGAGGTATCTTTTTTTTATCCTTTATTTTTCTCTCATATATGTTTTACAGGTTTGACAAGATTACATATAAGCTGAATATGTTTTTTTTCTTTAATTGTTTTTAATTTATTATTTTTTGATCACATTCTTCAATATTGTATTGGTTGAAAAATATAATGCATGATATATTTTTGTTTTTTTATAATAGAATTATCATTGTCTCAAATAAGTGTTTATTTTTTGGTTTGTGATCAATTTTTATTAGCATTTATTTTTATTATATAATTAAATAAAATAGTTTTTAAAAACTATTATTAAATCCAATATAGTTCATGACTCAGATTGCTAGGGGACCGAGGTAGATCAAATTTATCATCGTCATACAATTTAAAAAAAATATCATCTTAAATTTTTTTTAAATTAAATTATATTTTTAGCAGTTATCAAGGTTGTATTTAAGCTCATGAAATCAATCGATTTAAGTTGAATTAGATCCCATACAATTTAACTAAAAAATTAAATTAAATAAAAAATCTTAAATTAAAAGATTACAAGATTAACAAACTTAAATTTAGTAACAGTATCCAAAGATTCTCCATACTCGAAACATTCTTTTTTAATGGACCGTTAAACGTGGTGTGTCTAATATTAACATCATACCACCCCCATATTACTTTTACAAAACAATACTAGTTCATGATAAGCGTGAAAAGGACGTTATGGAGTTGCATTTAGAGTTCATTTGGCATGAATTTAGACCACATTTTAGTTCTATTTAAGGAGGCCAGGGGCATTCTAAGCGCCAGGTCCATTCTTAGCATTGCTGGTTTGCTTTCCTAAGAAACCTCAAGTACACCAATCTTCTCTGCCTCTCTAATACATTCCAAATAACCTTGTACTATATTCATAGTATATATTAAGCTTAAAAAATCTCAGGTACTATGGCTCCAGGAGTGCCCATGGATGTGATTTCCTGCACCGGCAAGGTTTCCACGGCTAGCACTGGCTACTCTAAAAGGGCCTTTGTAACATTTTTAGCCGGTAATGGGGATTATGTTAAAGGGGTAGTTGGGCTGGCGAAGGGTTTGCGCAAGGTGAAGAGTGCATACCCTCTGGTGGTAGCAATGTTGCCAGATGTGCCTGAGGAACACCGTGCCATTTTGAGGTCTCAAGGTTGCATTGTTCGGGAGATTGAGCCTATTTATCCACCTGAGAACCAGATTCAGTTTGCCATGGCCTACTACGTGATCAACTACTCCAAGCTCCGCATTTGGAATGTACGTGCATTAGCATAATCTTATAAACTTATAGACAATTTTTTCGATCAGTTACTCTTCTTTTATGGTATAATATATTAATTAAACAGTACACAGACACATTTAGCGACAAAAATGTAGAGTTTATATATTCAAACTGATGTGACTTTTCTGTATTTTTTTTTTAACGGGCTATTATTAATTTTCAAAGCCGTCGAGTTCGTAATTATGTATTTTAACTTGTATCTCAAGTAATATATATATATATATATATATGCTTCTGTGCGAGTGTGTGTATAATCAAATGATGTTTACCAGAGCTTGAATTCCAAAACCCAACATAATTAATTTATAAAATCAATCCTAATTTTTATAATTAATTAGACTTAAATAGATGAGATGTACAGATACTGTATAGGAATAAAAAGGTCTCTATTCATGCGTAGGATTAAGATACCTTGGTGTTTATTCTGTCTCTAGTGAAAAAAAAAAGGAGGTCTCTACCTCAGCTGGCGACACAAGTTGGTCGCTAAAAGTTGGTTGTTTATGTAGCAAATGGTCATATAAAAGTATATGTTTGCTTGATTTTCTTGTATGCACAGTTCGAGGAGTACAGCAAGATGATGTATTTGGATGCCGATATCCAAGTATTCGAGAATATAGACCATCTATTTGACACCCAAGATGGCTACTTCTATGCCGTGATGGACTGCTTCTGTGAGAAAACCTGGAGCCACTCACCACAATACTCTATCGGTTACTGCCAGCAGTGCCCGGAAAAGGTGACATGGCCAGCTGAGATGGGCTCTCCTCCTCCCTTGTACTTCAATGCTGGGATGTTTGTCTTTGAGCCTAGTCGTTTGACTTTTGAGAGCCTTCTTGAAACTCTCCAGATTACCCCACCAACCCCATTTGCTGAGCAAGTAAGTCATAGCATTTATGTATGAAATTAAAGTACATAAACCCTAAATGGATGGGAGATTAACAAGCAGGGAATTATAAATCAAAATCACAAAGTAAAAGTGGGCTGTGAGAGTTAAATGTGTGAGGCACAAGAAAATAATTGTAGTGAGGGATTAGTAGAGTGACACTCAGGCTGGCGAAGTAGGAAATTATTAGCCAAATTAATATTTAATAACAAAGAACAGCTTGTTAATTTATAATTTTCTGATTTGCTTGTGGATATGGCAGGATTTCTTAAATATGTTTTTCCAAAAAACATACAAGCCAATCCCTCTAATGTACAATCTGGTTTTAGCCATGCTATGGCGACATCCTGAGAATGTGGAGGTCGAAAAGGTTAAAGTGGTTCACTACTGTGCTGCTGTAAGTAGTGATCTTCTTCTCTGAATAACATCAAATACTATCTTCAGTTTTAAATCCCATCAAATAAATTACATTTATTATGTGTATTCTTGATTTAGACTCCTTCAGATCTCTTCTATTTTTGGAAAAACAAAAATATAGGGTTCAAAACCTTGGAGATATACTGGCAAGGAAGCTAACATGGACAGAGAGGACATCAAGATGCTAGTGGCAAGATGGTGGGACATATATAATAACGAGTCCCTCGATTTCAAGGGGGGGAACTCAGTTCCAGAAGAAGAAACATTATCGAGGCCATCCATCTTGTCTTCCAAGCCTGAGCCTGCCATTTCCTACATCTCTGCGCCATCTGCTGCCTAAACTTCTTGATGAAGATAGTTTAAAAACTGGTGTAATCCCATCCTTCCTTTAATTTTGTCTTTCAGGATAAACCCTTTTTCAGGCTGCTTGTGCTAATTATTTTCTTGCTCGGTGACTTTACATGCAAGACACTGTGGTGTTATATAAGGTGTTCTTGTATTTGAAATAGTATTCATACGAATCTCTATTGGTAAACTAAAAGAATGTCGAAATTAGTTTTAAGGTAAACTTCGATCCCTCCTCCTCTTTAATCTAGCTTGTAATTAGCCTTTTAAGGTTATAAGCTTCAAGTCTTAAGAACCTAATCTGTATTTTCTTTTCTCAATTTCTGATTTTTTTTCTCTCTTTTGATAAACAGCGAAGTCCTAATCTTAATCTTGAGTTATACAAAAGTAGCCCTCCATGCTCCATCAATCAAGTCTTAAAATTTAGTAAATGTTGTCGGCTTTGAAGTAAACTTGTGCTCAAGTAATGATTCCATAGTTTTTTTCAGCCATGTAGATCAATGGACATCAACAGTGACGCTAGAGGTGGTGATGATATTTATTTTTAATATATAAACACCGCAGCATCAGATTCTAAAATATCACAATATCAAAATATCAATTGGGTCTTTGATATTTTAATTTTGCAGCAACGTTTGTCCCTCAGACCAAAATCAGTTCAAATTGCCCTTAAATCCAAAAAATGAAGGACACGTGGCATTTTATGATAGGTTTACTTTATAGATTCACCTCTATCCTCAGTTCAGAAAAAAGCAAATATTACAGCAGACTTACAGGCAAAGCAAGAAGTCCCGAGAAAATATATCATCTAAAAGCATGAACGATTAAAGCCCCACGTACACTTCTTGGTTATTTCTTTAAGAAATTATTATCATACATTCACGCTTTGGAGTTTTGACAAAGACCAAGAAGGAAGAATACAAGGCAGGAGTAAACGTTGAAAATAATTACACATTTCTTTTCGTTTTTTAATTTTTATCTTACTTAGAATAAGAACGTTAAAAAATAATGATTTAGTTTACATGGAATTAACCATCTATTACAGCAAATAAGATTAAAAATACCACATGATCAATGTATTTTGTACTAAAAATTATTTACTCAAAAGTCTTATGAATTCATTATAAAAGTTTAATGGAGGTGAAGAATCAATTTTTTTGGACCCAGTAACATGCTAGACCTAAACTAATGTGAATTTGGTAAGATGTCGAACTCAACTCCCTATAGCTCAGTTACGTGCTAGGCTCAAAGGCTTATGGGTCTGATAATATACCAAACTCAATTCCCTTGAGCTCGACTATGCATTAGACCTAAATACTTGTGGGTTTGGCAAGATTAGGCTTCGCTACATGCTAGACCCAAATACTTGTAGGTCTTGATAGAAGCCAAACCTAACTCCTTTGGACTTGGTTACGTGCTAGACCTAAATGCTTATCGGTTTAGCAAAATGTTAGACCTAACTCCTTTAGGCTCGATCTCTTGGGCTTGGCTACGTGTCAGGCCTAAGCGCATGTGGGTCTATCAGGGTAACAGACACAACTCATTTAGGCTTGATTACGTGCTAGACCCAGGTGCTTTTAGACCTAGAGGGATGTTAGACTTAAAATCCTTAGGTCTAGAATCATCTAAAACCCTAACGTACAATAAAGGAACCTAGGGTTTTCACCTCCTTATACCTTCGCTATGTAAAAGTCCTTTAAAAGTTGGCTACATATTGACACGACTAAAAGATTGATGTCTTTTCCCAAGTACAGGAGTGTCGAAGTAATAAATAACCCGGCAAGACCGGGATCGAATCACAGGGAGGTTAATTGTACAAATTATAAATAACAATAATACAACAATAATAACAATAACAACAACAACAATAATAATAGTAATAATAGCAATAATAATAATAATAATAATAATAATAATAATAATAATAATAGTATTAGTAGTAGTAGTAGTAATATTAATAATAATAATAATAATAATAAAGAAGAAGAAGAAGATGAAGATTTTGAGATGAAATATTAACGTAAAGATTTAACAACGATAACAATAAATGTCAAGGTTAGAGGATCCATTAATGGTATGTCAAACAAGTATAGTATAAACTTTTATTAGTCAATTGGAAACCACACACAAAGGAGATTCCAATCAGATGATAGATTGTTAACATGATTACATTAGTCATCTTATTCGATTAATGCTAATACTTGTAAATCTCGTCAAGCATTCATGATTATAACTTATGTTAACAACAAATCAAGTTCCTTTCATAGCTCAGGTGTCGGTTATACCATACATTATGGGCTATGAAAGTGCCAAGCATTTGTTGTACCAAGTGTTATACAACATAAATCAAGATTAGTTATTTAACAAGCAAAGTATTAAAGAGTGAACAAGATAGCAAATATAAAACATGTTAGTATCAAGTATGAAAGTCCATATTAAGTTTACACTATACTTATTCTTACAACATTAGTGTAACCTTTTCACCTTGACATAATAAACTTAGCTAGACATAATGAAAGAAAGAAAAATAGATAAGCAAAATAAGAACATGAATAAGATTAAAGTTAAATAAGTAAATGCAAGGAAATGAAAGGCATAAACTTGATATTAATGAAAGCAAAGCATAAACATTACAAAAAATACAAAGAGAGAAAGCAAGAGCATGATCTTGATCTGAACACCAAGATGCCTAATGCAAGGGCAATGGCTCCTTTTATAGGCCAAAATTGGGAACTATTGATTTGATGACTAATTGATAAGTGGGTGACCAACTCTTGACTTGGTGACAATCCTTATCTTCTCTTGTCTGCCCAAAACGTTATTGATAACATCAAAATTGGAGCAAGTTAAAAACATGAAAGTTGTAGGCAATTGTCTCAGCTTTCTTGTGTAAAAACTTCAGCTCATTTTGACTTCTAGAACTCCAGATATGGCCAAAATACTGAACAGTGCTCGGGCTGGAAGACAGATTCGGTCTTCTTTGTTGTTGCTACAATTTGGACTTCAAAATGACCTTTTTAGATCTTGGGCTCCATATGAAAGTTGTAGGCCTATGTCTTACCTTTCCATCCATATAAATGGGACCTAAATATGAGATATATAGCTCTAGATATGACCCAATTACTAAACAGTGTTCCGGTTTGGATTGCACCAACATCTCTTTTCTAAGTTTGGCCATCTCTTTATCCTTGCAATTTAAGTTCTTAAAGTCATCAATCAATCCTTTCATTTATGTGATAGGCCTGCATTTAAAATGAACATTTACCACAAATTAAAGGTATCTTATATTATTAGATATATTATTATAAAACATGCTTTAGTTAAGGAGTTATTAATACTTCAAGTGCAAAATGATGATATAAAACCATGATAAAAATGCACTTTTAAGTACTAATCACATATCAATCAACATTAATATTGATTATTACGATTGATCCTATCAACATTAATGTTGTGTACGAAATTATATAGGACCATTTTTTTAGGCACATGATATATACTCTCATCAACACTAATATCATATAAGAAGACACTTACATTAATTTAATGTTGATGCAAAGGACTCCCTCTCCATTTGAGTGTGAAAAGGGAAAAAAAACTTTTGACCCCTTGAACAAAAAGAAAAAAGTTCAAGGTACAAATGTTATAAGCACCTTTGGAACAAACTAGGTTAAAGGTTCACAATTTTCACTTTTTTACAGTATATTCTTAGCATTTATCATACATGAACTAAAAACAAATATTTTTTTTCTTAAAGTTTCATGCTCATTTACTACAACTCCTCACTATAAATTCATTGACTTAATCATAATAGGGTCTTAAAATCCCACAAATAAGAACTATTTTGTAGGAATTCAGGCTTTTGTCACCAGCCCTTTGGGCCCTCAGTTCTAGAGAATAGAAGATTAACATGAACGTGTGATCATCCATTATCCAAAATCTCAAAAACTCAAGTTTCCTAGCATACTGGATTTTAAAGCATCATTAATTAATATTATTTGTGGAAAAACTATTCAAAAATTCATCAAATGTTCGTATAGAATGATTTTTAGACACCTCTAATTGCCATAAATGGTCGACAATCAAGAAAATCCTAGGTTAGGGTATGTTATGTACCTCCCCTTAATAGTTGGCATATTTGCCACATTAACTCTCTTAGATTTTCAACAACTCATTAATCAGGAGTAACCCTCATTTAAGTTGTCCTGAAATCTTAGAGGCAACACCAAACCACGCCACCTCAATAGACCCTAACAAAAGAGGTACCTCTCCTTAGGTATCTTTTTATGTCCCAACCTCATAATCGTAAGATGCCCCTTTGCCCCTTTGCTAGAAGACAATTGTCTTACCTTGAGGAAGTGGTGTAAAAAGATGTGGAGAACTCCTTGATTGAATAGCTCATTAACCCTCCAAAGAATCACTTTCATTAACATGAGACATTCCCAATGAACTACATTCTAGACATGATCCCTCTAGCTACTATAAGAAATAACTTTGTAATCAATCTCACCATTTCATATAGGAGTCTTCTAGCTCCCTTTAGCTAACGAGGTAAAATTTCAGGAAGAGGAATAATTGAGAGATATTTCCATGATGAGGCTCATTGCCACTAAGAGATAAATAGTTCCCCCTTATCCATATAGGTTTTATGCACTAATGTCCCCAAAAAGTATATCTCCAAGTAAAGATGACCTTGGATAACCATGACGGACTGGCAGATCTATGAGATCACATCCAAAACATATATAATAACCTTGAGATAGTAATCCAAGATAATGATTACATATGCAAGATACTGTCAACTTCTTTTAGAGGGTCAACTAAGGCGTGGTGTAACAATTTAGAGCCAAAATGCATCACGGGTTTCAAGGATCTTTGTATGAAACTCATGTCACAGTTTAGAACCAACATGCTAGCCAAAAAGACCTCCACAAAACCTTTTTGCATAACCTAAATAGAAGGGAATTCACTCTAGCATATTTAAAAATGTATAACAAAGAGATGCTCAAGGTAGAAGAATTTATTGAGATAATAGCCTCGGAACCCATGATAAATGAAGTAAGAGAACTTTTTATATTGAGAGACTTTTACGCCCTACTTGAAAGAAACCTAATCAAGGTAAAATAGGTTATAGAAATTCACATTGACACGACTAAAAGATTGATGCCTTCTCCCAAGTGCAGGAGTGTCGAAGTAATAAATAACTCGGCAAGACCGGGGTCGAACCATTGGGAGGTTAATTGTACAAATTATAGATGACAATAATAACAATAACTAC